GTACCTCTCTAGTCACGCGAACCAACAAGTGTGTCTTCTTTCGATTTAGTGCATCAACGACCACGCTTGCTTTTCCAGGATGATACTGGATGTTTATGTCGTAATCCTTCACTATCTCCAACCATCTCTGTTGCCTCATATTCATCTCTTTTTGTGTGAAGAAATATTTTAAACTCTTGTTGTCAGTGTAGATTTGGGTCTTCTCTCCATACATGTAGTATCGCCAAATTTTGAATGCAAACACTACCACAACCAACTTTAGGTCACATGTGGAATAGTTCGTCTCATGTTCCTTTAACTGTTGTGATGCATAGGCAACAATCTTACCATGTTTCATTAACACACATCCTATTCCTTTCTTGGAAGCGTTACTATAGATCATGTACCCTTCTAAACTCTCTAGTACTGTGAACACTAGGACTATTACTAACCTCTGTTTTAGATCTTGGAAGCTTGCTTCACACTCATCATTCCATATAAATGGTACGCCCTTCCTCGTCAGTTGTGTAAGTGGTGAAGCTATTTTAGAAAAGTCTTGTATGAATATTCGATAATACCCCACTAATTCTAGAAACTCCACACCTCTGTAACCATATTTGGGGCGTTTCCACTTTACAATCGCTTCAATCTTGGTAGGATCTACATAAATTTTGTCCTTTGACACCACATGTCTCAAGAACGAGAGTTGTCGTAGTCAAAATTCGTACTTTGAGAATTTGATATACAACTTGTTCTCTCTTTAAGGTTGTTAAGTGTTAAGAATGAGGAACATAAGTGGGTTTGAAAGTTCAATCTTCATTAATGTTCATTTAAATAGGATACAAGCTACCAACTAACTCCGACAAATATAAGAGAAAATATACTACTACCAAAATGGTAAAAATAAGATAAAATATACTATCAACAAATTCTTATAATTAAAGGAAAGATCCTAACTTGATTATAGCTCTATAAACTATATTCCACAACTAAGTCTATATCTTAAATCAAATTTCATAATACTTATTCTCAAGTTGGAGAGTGTATGTCAATCACATCCAAATTGTTTTTCAGAAAATCAAATTGATGTCTTTCCAAAGCTTTAGTGAAAACATCTGCCAAGTTAACTCTAAATAAGTATTTGTTGAAGATCTATTTTGCCTTTTAGACTTCCAGGAAATAATTGAATTTTCCAAAAGATGCAAAGCCAGAATTATCTAGACACATTGGTTTTTTTTAGAATTTCAAGAAATAATTAAATTTTCAAAAAAGAAGCAAAGTCAAGAGAAACAGACTACAATGATTTAGTCCAGTATTGGTAATTTGTCCGATTTAATTTGATTGGAATAACTGAATATCCTTGCTAATCTCTTCTTGGTTCATGCATAAATGATTTACTCGTGGAGGGGTAATTTGTACCATTTAACTTGATTAGAACAAGTGAATATCCTCGTTGATGAGAATGGTGAATGTAATAAGGATGTGTTAAATCAACATCTAAAATTTTGAAGTTGGATTTGGTTGATTCCACCAAAAAGGAAATTTTTATATTTAAGAACACCAAGATCCATGTTCCATTTGAATCATCACGTTCTTGATTCATTTCAAGAAGTTTCAGAGGATAACTCGAACAAGGAAATCTCATCACTTTGGCCAGCAGTTTTATATTGCCTTTGTGAATATCTTGTTTATGGTCAAGTAGAAGCCGTTGGAAGAGAAAATAGGTCGACAAGTTCTTCTAATGAGGGGCATGTGCCGAAGATTGTTGTTAATGATAATGGAGAGAGATATTTTAAGTTGAGAGCTTGCTCATCATCTAATCATTTCATCACTAAATCCCGTAAAGATGTTGTGAAAGAAAATACAAACATCTTGAGCATGCCACCTTTGAGCTTTGGTGAAAAATTTGAAGATGCTTATAACGTAGTCTTGATATTGGACGATCAAGAATAGTTTGTCAACCATAGTTCTTTGTCTAAGAGAATGATTGAAAATATATGTAGTCAATTCAAGACTCAGATTGAGATTAGGAGGCTACCTAGTGGTGATGAAATCTGGATAGCTCGCCACTAACATCTTGATAATGAATATGTTCTTGATTTTATTGTTGAGAGAAAAAAAAATTGATGATTTGCGGTGCTCAAGGACAATCACTTATAGAGACCACAAATTAAAACCTTTGAGATGTGGGCTTAAAAGGATGATATATCTTGTGGAAGATGATCCCAATTTATCCGCCGTCCTCTGTTCTGATCTCTGTCACTTTACTTCAGTTCTTCCTCTTCTCCCGCTCTGATACCATGTTAAGAATGAGAAACATAAGGGGGATTTTTCATCTCAATTAGGTTACTTATTCTTAACATTAAGATTGTTTTGAAGTGTTCTTGGTGTTCTTATCATTTTCTCTTCAGTATCCACTAGTGACGCTGCGAACCTCTCAAGTCTCATAAACTCGCGATCATAGTTGTCCACTAAACGTCCACCTTATGTTAGATGGGTGAATTTCTGTTGTTTCCTGAGTCGAGCCACCTTGGGATAGTACTGTTTTACGAACATTTCCTTAAACTTTGTCCAAGACATGATTCCCCATCAAGATTGAGACTATCCCGGTTGTCCATCCACCATACTTCTACATCCTTTTGCAACATGAATCACGCACAGGACACCTTCTGATCGTTCGGAAATTCTTCTGCAACATGAATCACGCACGTTCTGATCCATGGACAAAATCCACATTTGGGCTTCTATTGGGTCTCACGTAGTTCCAATGAATGAATGTGGGTCATAGTCCCATAAACATCTCACCCATCTGGTAGATTGTGAGCGGTAGGCTTACTAAACGAACATTGTGGCATGCATCATGGCCTAAAACAATTCCCACATCAGGTTTGTAGTGGGATTGATACTAGCAGCTGATGCAACTTGAGGTGGCGCAGCTTGAGGTGGCACAGCTTGAGGCGGCGCAGTAGCGCCCATCCTAGTTACAGAACCTTCATGAGATGGGCTCTCTTCACCCCACCTCTTTCTCTACCTCTAATATAATAGGGGGTCATCCCCTTGTCTCTATTTTGCGTTCACTGGACGGCCTTGTTCTAGAAACTAAGATAATTTTTCTTAAGTCTAAGGCTTTCTAATATAAATAACATTATTGTGCATAGTATTAAAATCATGTAGTAGAGCAACCATATAAATATGATATAAAATTCATCCAAACTTTAGAATCAACAACATACTCATAATTCATCATATTCCATGTTATATCACATTCAACAACAATACATAATTAAAGTATATGCAATCAAAGGCGCTTCTTTTTCTTATCTTAGGCAAGACATACGTGACGATGAAGGGGTATCGGGTGGGACCATGGAACATGTCAAGCCTATATCGTAGGGTAGTCTACAGAATCTATAAACTAGAGCTCTGATAACAACTATAACAACCCTAGATTTCTACTAACATAAAGTCGCTACTGTCATCATTTTCTATGCTCTTATGTAAAATTAAACCTTTAAAACATAACATCAACTTAAAACACTGTCATGGTCTTACGTGTTCAAAAACATAATTAAAAACAAGATAAAAACAATAATAATAAGTAAAGTAAAGGCATTACCTGCAAAACACACTATACCGTAGGGTAGTCTACAGAATCTATAACCTAGTGTTCTGATAAAAATAACCTAAGTCTAAGAATGTAAAACACTACTAGCCTATGCACATGTCATGGTCTCTGATTTCGATGTCATCGATAGTCGTACAGGAGTGTCTTACCTTTACATGAAATAGAAGTAGCACATGACTTGAGTATATTAAGAAATACTTAGTAAGTGACCTTATTATTGGGGTCGAGAAATGCAAACACATGCAACTCATGCTCTAGGGATCTATTGTTAAAACCATCATTGGATGCATAATATTTTCCTACACATGACCCATAGTGTGAGTGTGAATCCCAGAGTGGTTCGCACCTCCTGGACCCATCATAGTCGATCTACCTGTCCATAGTGACGTCCGGAGGTCAACATACCCTTGAGTGTCATGTGAGGCATGATCATCATCATCATTGTAGCATACGCGTCTTTAGTCATCATCATAAAAGGGGAAGTAGACCGATGTTTATGTACACATAGAATGCATGAGGTCTCTATAATTTTTCATCTTTAAAACATCTTTAAAACATCTTTTGACACAACCCTAAACTTCGTTCACATATTACTATAAATAATACACATGCATTGGTCTTCATAGGTTCATTATCATTATCATTAACTAGGGTTGTGTCCTAGGAAAATCATCATCATAATATGAAATGAAATTTAAAACATATATTTCATCTTAATTAAAAAATAACGTCATATTAAGAAATTTCACAATCTTACATTGTCATGTAGTCATGCATCATCATCATCATGTAGTGTCATCATATAACCAAACCATAAACATCATATAACATCATCATATAAATCATTCACATCATCAAACGTCAAACGCCATACGTCATACATTATCATGATATAATATAATGAGAGCATCATAAGTATACAAATAAATGGCATGTGCTGGAGCCATTAGTCACGTATCATCATACATCAAAAAAGTCGTCCAACCTATTATAGAAAATAAATTGCTCTGATACCAATTTGTAGAAAAATAAAGTCACTCCGATACCAACTTGAGAAAAACAAAATGCTCACTCTAAATCTAACTCGTTTAGATAACTCTCACGAAACTTTAAATGGGTGTCCAAAGGGGAGAGACAAGGAGACAAAAAAGTTCTAAAAGGTTTTTGTATTACGCACTCACTTGTTTTTTTCTCTCTACCATAAGCCATTTCTCTCTTAAATGACTTCATGGCTTTTTTATAGAATTTAAAACCAAAAGAAAAGTTTATAATTACTTCTTTTCTCTCTCCTACATTTAAGTTTATTTCTCAACAAAAGTCTCCCATAAACTTAAATGTTCTATTCAATGGTTCCATCTGCGCCGTTTTCATTTTTTCGAGCTCAGTCATGGTCTCTTCAACTTTCTCTTCTTGTCCTCGATCGTAAACTAAGGTTGTCCTTCTCTGGTGAGACTTCATTTGGATTTTCTCGAGAACAGCCCATCTGAGACACCGACTCTTCATTTCTCTTGTTCTTAGCCATGCTAGACTCAGATGTCATAGCTTCGTTCACTTTACTCAATTCTCTTCGCAAGTCCATAACGACATTTTTCACTTCCATTTTTGCTTCCTCCATTTCAACTTTATCATGAGTGATTATCTCAATCGTGCGTCGTAAACTCACTGCCTCCTGTTAGACTCGATTCAGATTCACATCAACTAAATCTCTCCGTTGAGTTAACATCTCTACATCTTTCTCCTTCATTTTTTAATCTGAGTGGGCCAGCCAAATCTTCAATAACAGATTCATCCAATAACCTCTCAACAATTTTCTTCTCTTTCAACAGATTCTTATTCATAATCTCACTCTCCATCTTTTCAGCTAATAACTTCTTGCATTTCACCTTCAAATACTCTGTCTCTTCCAAATCTCTTTTCTCATTCTTCTCCATTTCAATCATTTTCTTTCTCAAATCTCTTATTTCCTTAAACAATCCATCATAATTATCCTCAATTTCATCCCTCTCCCAACAAACCTTCAACCATTTCTCCCTTTCTTCCTCAACTTTCAACACAAGTCCATTATTCTCATCTTTCAATCTCCCAATATCCACATTCTTCAATCTCTCACTCTCAACTAATCTACAAATCCTATCTCCCACTTCATCCATTTGACTATGTTTCTTCTCGTCGGCATTCTTCTTCAAGTCCACCATTCAAGAATGCTGATTTGACATTCATCCATTTGACTCTGTTTCTTCTCGTCGGCATTCTTCTTCAAGTCCACCATTCAAGAATGCTGATTTGACATCCATTTGAAAAATCAGCCATTTGAATTGGGCTGCTTGGAAAATGATCAATCGGATTGTCTCCATTCTAGCAACGGGAGCAAACACTTCGTCATAGTCGATTCTCACCTTTTGCTTCTATCCCTTCGCAACAAGTCGAGCTTTCTACCGCTCAATCTTGCCTTGAGCATTCATCTTTTTCTTGAATACCCACTTCACACTTATGGGCTGACTTCCTTTTGGTAATTTTGTCACTTCCTGTTAGATAAAACCTGAGTTTTACCGTTTTTCTTATTCACACGATTTCAGAAAATCGTGAGTTTGACCATTTGACAAATCACGTCGAATGGATCACCAGAGTTTTAGAAGGGAGTGGCACAGATTTAGTTGGCCACTCTCCAGCCAATTTTAGAATTCTTTTTTACTTTAAATAGGAAGATTTGTTCACAAAATACAACAACCTGAACGCAGTCAAATTCAGAGTTATTTTTTTCTCTCTCCTTTTTGTTACGCATTTTCCCAATTTCCTCTCACCGAAATTCTGTGAAAACCAACAAGTGGTATCAGAGCCAAGTTGAAGATCGGTGTATATCATTGCAGAGGAGCCAACCTATCAACAAACAAGTTGAATAGCTCAAGTGGTTAGAGCTTTGACCAAACATCCCACAGGTCTCAGGTTCGAGTAGAAGAAAATGCAAAGTGTAAAAACACACACATCGTGGGGCCCATCTCGGGCCGGCTCACTCTCTCCTTCACGTCCTCGCCGTGTGCCGACATCTCCATCACCGCCGCCACGAAGAGGCCGACGCCGTGATGACGGGCGTCAAGTTATCGTTGAGCGAATGATCAGGGAGACAACGACTGCCGTCGTTCAGTATCCAATATTGACAAAGTCCAATTATAACGAATGGATCTTGTTGATGCGCGTCAACCGCCGCCATATTACGATCTGTGCCCCCAGAGATGCTGGCATCTCTCTCCACCAAGCGCACCGCGCAATCGGCCTGGGAGGGAATCAAATCCCGTCGGGTCGGTGTACAGCGAGTGCGGGAATCCAACATCGAGCAGTTGCGGAAGGAGCTCTCGGAGATCCACTTTAAGGACGGTGAATCCGTCGATGATTTTTCAATGCGGATCACGGGGCTCGCCAACAACATCACCACACTCGGTGGCAGCATTAGCGAGACAGAAATCGTGAAGAAGATGTTGCAGGTTGTCCCTGATCACCTCGAGCAAGTTGCGATTTCAATCGAGACATTGCTTGACGTGAACGACCTAACGGTAGAAGAGGTGACCGGAAGACTGCGTAACGTCGAGCAGCGGAAGAAAAATACCATTTCAGCTGTCGACAAGGGGGGTCGCCTACTCCTCACAGAGGAGGAATGGCTTGCACGTCTAAAGCTCCGTGACAACACCGGCCAGAGCAACGGGTCCTCCTCCAGCCGCAAAGACGGTAAGAAGCCATGGATCTCCCACGGGCGCATGCGCGGGAAAGATGGGAATCAAAAGAAGGAGTCGACCAATGGCAGGCCAATCTGCTCGAACTGTGGGAAGAGAGGACACCTAAGCAGAAATTGCTGGAGCAAGCTTAGGAATAAGGAGAAGGCCGAAAAGGCCCATGTGGCTCAATCCGAGGAGGACGAGCCA